CTACACAAAAGTACATTCCATCATTACTAGCTCTTTGGGCAGATAGGAACTCATGTCCAGTCATCTGCCCTATTAGCCCCTGCATCCTCTGTCTCCTTCCCCCTCCTTCATGGTCTCTTCCTCTGCTAAACCCAAGTGTCTAACACATAATGCTATAAATCCTGTTTTTATTCTGTCCATTCTTCTCCCTGATGCTACTACTCTGGCCCAAAACACTTCCATGTGAGCTACAATGTGACCAAGCTGTTGCTCTAAAGTACTTGTTGTTGACTTGGAGTCTTCTGACAGCTAGGGCAAATGGGTGACACCTGAATGTGCTACTCGAGGACTATATAAGTGACAATGAAAGTGAGAGAAGGCCGGACGCAGTGGCTCACGCCTGTAATCCCTGCACTTTGGGAGACCGAGGTGGGTGGATCACAAGGTCAAGAGATCGAGACCTTCCTGGTCAACATGGTGAAACCCCGTCTCTACTAAAAATACAAAAAATCCCAACTACTCAAGAGGCTGAGGCAGGAGAATTGCTGAACCCAGGAGGCGGAGGTTGCGGTGAGCCGAGATCGCGCCATTGCATTCCAGCTTGGGTAACAAGAGCGAAACTCCGTCTCAAAAAAAAAAAAAAAAAATAGAAAGTGAGAGAAAAAGTACACAAGAGGGAACACCTAAAATCTGGACTGTTAAGGGAGGCCAAGAGCACAGAGTCCTGAACTTTGGCCTTACGACATGTATCAATAGAATAAAATATAATTTGCACATGATATCAAGGGAAAAAGTCAACATCAATGCTGGCTGTAAACAATAGAACCACTATACTAGAAATCTGGTCTGCTGCAATACAGCAATACTAATTATAGTCCCAAATGTTCTGCTCACCATTTGTGCCTACTTAGAATACAACATAGTTATGCATAATCATGAAATATATCACACTTACCTACATAAGTCCTATCTTATTATAGTACTAGACTTTCTCCCAGTATACTACTTCTTCACAGTCTGTTGCTCTTGAATCAAGACCACCTACTTATAACCTTAAAATTTAGAAAAATGAGGGAATGCTGGCTTAGAAAGGGAATACTGCCAGAGACAAGATCTTAAAACCAAGAATAGAAAATATGAGTAACACAGTTTTGTTACAATTAAATTCATTTCTAAATTTACACAACTATTTTAAATATATTTTGGAATATATTTGGAAATGAAAGTTCAGTCTAGATCAGGGGAACACAGGGGTTTTATGTCACATGCCAATTTCAATAAACTGACAGTGGCTGCCTGCCATGCTCTGCTGAGGACTCCAGAGAAGGAAAGAGGGGCACACTCAATTAGCAATGTCTATCCCTTGTTATCTCTAGACATAACAACTGCTGAACATATTATGTCCCAAATCACCAAAAGGGGAAAAATGAACTCACCAGAAAAATCTATTATCAGTTGTCTGTTCTTGCATGCTACGATGCGCATTAAGACTCAAATCTAAACTGATGCCAGATGCAGACCATGCAAAATAAAAGTTTCCTGAATTCAAAACTTTCCGCACTTCTGAAATGCGATCCTCATCTGAAGAATCAATTCTCAGTGATATAAACTCAGTGGAAGTAACTCGGAAAACTTCAGATTCTTGAATTTTTCCAACAGACATACATCCAGTGACTAGGACCAGATAATGTAACATAGTATCACCTGGAAAATCCAAAGATTTTACTAGATGAAAAATCCCAACATTTTCAAGCTATTCCATTTCTTTTGACTTTCTTCATGCACCTCTATTTTTTAAACCTGACATTGTGATTATTTTAAACTTATCATGGATGTGTTTAAATTTACTAGATTTTTTTGTTGAAAAAAAAATCCTTTTAAAATATATTAACTATAATAAAGCATTTAAACATTAACAGGCTAATCTCACAGGAAACTGTTCCTGAACTTACTCTGAGCTACAAAAACTTTATCGGATAAAAAAAGTATGTGTTACTTTCTCTACTTTTGTTTAATGATTGTCAGAAAATTCAGGTAAGAATGAATTCACACTCATTTTTACCAGTTCCTTGCAAATAGTAAAGCTGAAAAAAATGGCATATTATTGTGAGCTGAGGATATTGATGATATACGGGCAAAAGTCTCTAGTAACACTGATTTATAAAAACTTTCATAGAGATTTTTTTCACGTAATTGTGATAAAAAGCCTATGTAATTAGTATAAAGCTGAAATTCAGCAACAGTACACTGTGAGCATGGGCTCTGACACAGGTAGAAGTAGCCTTGAATCTTGGCTCCTTTACTTATTTATCAGGGTCAATTTCAGTATGCAGCATAAGCAACCTGAGATATCACCTCTTATAAAACAAGATTAAGGCAAATACCTCATTACACTGTGAGGCTTACCCAGGACTAATCAGTAAAGCACCTAAGTGCAGTGCTTCATATGTGATAGGTTCATAACAAATGACAAATCTCCATTTTATAGACCAGTGCTACTCAAAGTATGGCCCATGAACTGTTTCCAACTCAAAATGAGAAAGAATGCTTATGCCAGAATAGAGATCAACTATGTCACTAAGTTCACCCTTTAGATTAGTTGACGTTTTCTTCTAGTAAGACTTTATCAATGAAAGAATTCTTTCCTCCTTTACTGCTCTCCCTTTTCCACTCTCCAACCCACTCTCAACTCACCTCCTGGCTGACTGGTTCACGTATTTATTTCTTATCGCTATATGTTGATTTGTATCATGGTGCAGCTCCTTGTCTTATCAAAGATTAGTAACAAAGTAATTTATGGACCAGTACCAATCCCAAAGCAACACTTTGAGCCACACAATTATAGATAAACTAGTAACTGCAAAGATTATTCTGCAGCTCATGGTGACATTAAGTGGCAAAAAAAGGCTCAAGCAGAGAGCTTCTCAATTCAAAACAGATGTCTTTTCCACTATAAACCAAGAAAAATCAGTGTGGTTCTCATGAAGACATTTTTTCCTATATGCACTGAAGCAATGAAAGGGAAAATGTTCTGATATTCTCTTTTGACAATTGACCCTTACCTCTTCAAGTGGTCAAACCAGAGCTGTCTCCGAACTTAGACTTACATGAGTTTGAGCATGTAGCACGCCTTCTGGGCAACAAACATTATCACAACATTAGCTAAATTATTATTTAAAAGACGTTAGTACATGTGTAGCTTAAATATGGAGTCTACAATAATTCATAGGTAGTCTCTCTCAAATCCTTAGGATTACAAAAATAGAAATGAAAATACTGATGAATTCTACTGAATGATAAACTTACCAAGATTTAACCGCAAAACACCTAAGAGTCCATATGCGTCCAGTACTTTGGAGTATGTACCCTTGATTGCCTCTTTTTCTGCAGATGCTGCAAAAAAAAGTTTTAGTTTAAGAAAAATGATCTGAAACATCAGATTCTACTTAGCTAAATATAAATCCAAGTTTCAACCAAAAGTTTCTGAATCTGAAATTCTTAAAATAAATGTACTGCATAAAGTATTTGTCCAAACTAGTAACATAAGTATTCTTCCCAAAGAGTTAATAAATTATTCCAGGACCATTTATTAATTAATCCATCCTCTCCACTGATCTGAACTCTAAGAAGAGTTTAATTTTTGACACAATAGTGTCTGACACTTAGAAAACTGACAAAACATTTAAATGATAAAAGCTAATGGCAACACTTGTCTACAAAAATTTAGTGCAAGAATGGAGAAATCTGATCCTGAAAGGACAAAAGCCTGGTCTTTGCCTTGACTTATCTCTTCTGCTGTAAAGTTAACATTATCTTGCTAATGTATATAAACCACAGAATAATTTTCCTAGGACTGGCTATTAGTCTATCGAGGAGAAAAAAACAACAACAAAAATCAAATCCTGAAACTTTAAAGGAAAAACCTTTCTCGCTCTTAGCAAATACACATTAAAAAAATTGACAAAGAACCAAAGAAATATTAACAATTAGTATTTCAACAGACAAATACAAATAATACATCCCACAGTCTACAGTTGATCCTTGAGAAAGATACCTTCTTTCCTTCCAGGTTTCTTTCCTCCTTTACTGCTCTCCCTTTTCCACTCTCCACCCCACCCTCAACTCACTTCCTGGCTGACGGGTTCACGTCGTATTTATTTCTTACCTCTTACACTTAACCTCTTTCCTTTACCTTATTTATCTATGATATACGATGTTTAGCAATATTGATGTGTTCCACATTAGAAAATCACGTAAGCAGATCCTTATGACTGTCTCATTTCCTGTCCATCTTTATTGCCAGCAAGAGGGCTCTTCTCAGCCTACTGCTTTGCCTAATACTCCTTTGTACTTTGCAACAGAGATCTTTTGCTTTGCCTGGAAGCTCTTCTCCAGAGTTCCACAGAACCTCTCACCTTCCCTGTCTGCTTCACCTCTTTTCAGATCATGCAGGCTTAAGCCTTCTTCCTAGGAAGATCTGACTTCTGCTTCCTGACGAGTTTTGCTCTGCTAGTTGCAGCACAGGCTAAGACTAAATGACTCATCACTCAATTAGCTGATACTTTCACAATTCTCTAATATGTTTATTATTAAATGTGGGCCTTTATCAAACCACCCAGTATGAAATCAGGGAGCGGAGAAGATTTCACCAACCCATTAAAGTGATGGGGATTTATTATTTCATTCTGCATTCCTTGAGTTCGTATTATTATTACATCTTATGTTTACACAATAGTTAATCCTAACATTCCATGACAAGCAACCCAAATACAAAACATTATAATATAAACTTTATATTTTATAAAGCAAAATAGAATGGCCTTCTAAATACTGCCTCATTAAGAGTACCACATGTACAGCAAATATTAGAGAGACTTGTTATATCTCTCAGGACAGAAGGCATGACTTCCAGGATAAATATTATTCTAGAGTTTTATAAGTTATATGCTACATACACTTAAAATATCATCACTAATACAGTAATATAGAAAATACTAGATATATCCATTTCAGCAACAATCATCATTTGGGTTCAAATGCCAAGAGTCAGTAAAAGTTAAGGAGAAAATATAGTTTTATTTTTGGGTTTTTTTTTTTTTTTNTTTTTTTTGAGACAGAGGCTGGAGTGCAGTGGCACAATCACAGCTCACTGCAGCCTTGACTTCCTGGGCTCAAGTAATCCTCCCACCTCAGCCTCCCAAGGGGCTGGGACTATAGGCATGTGCCACCATGTCCAGTTAATTTTTTTAAATTTTATTTTGTAGAGATACAGTTTCTCTATATTGCCCAGGCTGATCGGGAACTGCTGGGCTCAAGCAATTCTCCTGCCTGAGCCTCTCCAAAGTGCTGGGATTATAGGCATGAGCCACTATGCCTGGCAAAAAATAAATTATTAACATTAAGTCACCACCTTCCTTTAGAAAACAGAAGAAAAAAAAACAGAAAAAGTCATTCTATAACTTAAATTACCAAGCAACAAAATGTTCTCTCTTCTAATAATGCATAATAATCTTCTCATTAATTATACTCCAAATGCATGAACATATGTCTCTCAGGCCCAATGAAGGCCCATCTGTTAGACAATTGTCTAATTCAAACATGAAAACAAATGCTTTGCAGTTTAGTTATTTACGTTTGTATTCTATTCTGAGACTCAGGAAACAGGATACACACAAACACACACTTTAAAGTGCATATTCTTAGAGCCACATGTACTTTTAACTTCAGCCATTTCCAATTTCATAAGAGAAAATAGTACCTTCTTCCTAAATATATTTTTATCTGAAGGACAACAGATGTTTCTCTATTTTATGATATATGCTTCCAAGGTTTGGGGTAAAGTGGAGGGAGGCCCAGTACAGGCCACTAGGAGGACGGCCTGTGCATGAAGCTGAAGCTAGAGGTGGGAAAAGGGGCATCCCTTTGTGGGTGGGGCAGCCTGGCATGACTTCCTGAAGTCTGACTAGGGTGAAGAGAGGACTGTCCACCCAGGGATGTTAGGGGCATCCTGGCATGGTAAGTTAGAGCTTGAGAGGAATGGGGAAGACAGGGTTTTGGAGTGCCAGTGGAGTAAGGAGGGAACCTAAGTGGTGGAGGAGGCTACATTGATAACAGAAGAGTGGTTATCTATGGCGAATGATTAAGCATAATGAGAGCCAGGTTTCTCACTGTTAGAGAAGGTACAAATGGAAAGAGAGAAACTAGAAAGAACAGTGTTGATTGGAATTAGCGTTACCAGTGTTTTCTAGATAAACCGAAGAAAGACGAAAAGATATAGAAACATAGGTATAAGTATATATGTCACATACATACAGTTACATATACTCCTCAGCTCTATCCATTGAGTGGACCTGGGATCTGCAATACTCTGACAGCAATGCACATACCTAGCATACTTTGCCTTCTACATACCATTCTCCACTAAGAGGAACTAGAATTCCTTGGAGAAATGGCTGATTCCAGGGCAAAGGCAGGGACAAAATGAGCCTGAAACATAGTATTGTGCCAGAAAGTAAAGAAGTGTTCAAAGGATAATGGAGATATGTCACAAACATGCAGAAGGCAGCTTGAAGGGGCTTCTACTGGTGAAATCCAGGACAATTTGAACATCAAAATAAATAATAAGAGTAATATGGATTATAAGCCTATGAATTGAAAGTCTCATGAGGAATCAGCAAAACCAGTATAAGGGGAAAAAAAGTCTGCCTGACATGCCTAGCATACCATTACCTTAATTAAGCAATCAAAGTGAACACCACCAGGGGCTGGGCACAGTGGCTAATGCCTGTAATCCCAGCACTTCAGGAAGCTGAGGCAGGAGGACTGCTTGAACCCAGGAGTTCAAGATCAGCCTGGGCAATATGATGAGACTCAATCTCTACAAAAAAATACAAAAGTTATCCAGGTGTGGTGGCATGCACCTGGGGTCCCAGCTACGTGGGAGGCTGAGGCGGGAGAACTGACTGAGCCTGGGAAGTCGAGGCTGCAGTGAGCTGAGATCATGCCACTGCACTCCAGCCTGGGCGACAGAGTGAAACCCTGTCTAAACAACAACAAACAAAGTGAACACCAACAGTAAGAGGACAAGTCAAAACTGTGAGCCATCTCTCAGGACACAGTGAAAAGAAAACAGCACCACTGTTGTAATACTCCTGGCCAGAAGTGAATAACCTGAATCTACCCATGAGGAGCCATCAGACAGGCCTAAAGTGACAGACAGTCCACAAAGTAACTGGCTTTCACCTTCAACATTTCTAAGGCCATAAATGTCAAAGATTGAGAAGTTTTTCCATTTAAGGAGACTAAAGAGACATGACAACAAAATAAAATGTACACATCCAAACTGGACCCTTTTGCTATAAAAGACATTGTTGGCGCAATTGGTAAAAATTGTAGAGAGGATAAGGATTAGATAGTAGCAACACATCACTGTTAATTTTATGACAGTTATACGAGAATGTCTTTCTAGGAAATGCATAGCAAAGTATTTGGGGTTGATAGGCATCATGTCAGCAACTTATTCTTAAAAAGTCCAGAGAATCTGCTCAGTTCTGGGGCAAAAAAAAAAAAAAGTCCAGAGGAAAAAAGTTATTTGTACTATACTTCAACATTTCTGTATGTTTTAAATTGCTTCAAAATTAATTTTTTTCAATGTAACCAGCAAAAATAAATTTTAAAAGTATATATACTTATTCCTAAAGAAGCTTTTATCTCTGATGTTAATAAGGTAAACTCTTATAAATACCTTGTTATTCCCTCCCTGTACATTTTTTAATGGGGGAAAAAAAGATTTCCTTATCTTATGAGACTCCATAAAATTCACAAGAATATCTGATGGAAAGGTCATGAACCTAATTTAAATTACTGCCCCACTCCTCTGTTAATTTAACTCTAGAAAATAATTTTAGAATCTTCTACAACAAAGAGATTATTTAAAATAAGAAAGGCTAAACATTACATAAGATAACATGTATAATCTTTAGATCAAATACAGCACTTAGAAATACTTTACAATCATCACCATCATTCTTTTTCCCTTGATAATCCCCCCTTGCATTCCATGCTTCAGCCAAAATGTCTAGTTTTGTTGCCCACATGTTCCACATTCTCTTCCCTCTCTCCCTTTGTTCGTAGTGTTGTTTCATCTGGACCAATCTTTAGTCATCTTTGTATTTCCAAATATTGCCTATCCTTCAGTCCCAAACTAAAACGCTACTTCCCTTCCCAAAGATTTTCCCTCATCGCTCTAGTTGGAAGTAAATCTTTCTCCCATTTTATACTACAGTTACATGTAAACTAGTAACAACAGAAACTAAGTCTTATTTCTTTTTCCTTTTTTGGTGGCGGGCCAGGATCTCACTCTGTCACCCAGGCTGGAATACAGTGGAGCAATC